CAACTTCCAAGCGAAGTGGTGCTGGTTCCTACCCTGGGGGTCTTTAAGACCAGGCTTGACAATCACTTTGCTGGGGTTGTTTGACCCCAGTACTCTTTCCTGCCATGGCAGGGGATCGGACCCGATGATCTGTTCAGGTCCCTTCCGACCCTACTAACTATGAAACTCAAAAGTCAGACCTACTTACCTCTTCTATTAATTTGGCACTGTCTTAAACCATTCATTTTTCTCCTTGCCGCTGTTCTGTAAGCTTGCCTCATCACCTTTAGTAAGATCTTTGACAGTCCCATATAATATTCTCATAAGTGTTGAAAATTAAATTAGTATGGTATACATGTACAATATTGCTTTTTGTATGCCATGTACCTCCATGCCTTTATCTCCATGCCTTTATCTCCTCTCTCTCTGACTGTAATCACCTTATCTAGTTTCCTTAAGTCTTTGATCCTCAGCTGCTTAGTACCCAATATAGACCTGCTCCTGATATGTGAGGAACATTCACAGTTCTTGCTCTTTGATGGAATTACTCCATATATCAGAGGGAATTGTTAGTTGTTCAGTATCTCTTAGTATTGGACCCCAAACGTCTGATATTTCTGGTAATTTCATTATTTAGTAAAATAGTGCTTTCTAACATCCATTTTTGCCTTACAAAAATTTTGGTTTCCTTTGCCATCCTTCTTGTCTTGTTAAATAGCATTTTTGCATACAGTTTTTTTTCCTCTTTCTAAAATCAGGATTAATCTCCCCAGATGCTTGGTTGTATAACAGAATCCTGTATTTTAGTGTACAGTGCTACATAATGAATTTCTAAGAATTAGATCCTTGGCTATTTCAATCACAAGATCAGTTACTGTGGAGCAAATTTGGCAAGTGTAACATAAAGCATTTAACTGAAAGGAGAATTGAAGCTGTGCCTCTTACTGTGGTTATTTATTTATGTGTTTTCAATGATGCAGGTGTTCATCAACCCTGTACTCCCCTGTTTCTGAATGAGAAATCTCTCTTCAGCAGTTCACTTCAGGACTTTCTTTTGGCTCTGTATTCTGTGTTGTTAGAAATGCAATAATTAAAGTTGGCTTGAAAGTAAAAAAGGGGTCTGGATATCAGACTGATATGTAAGACTACACTGAGTTCTTGCAGTGAGGACTAAAGTAGTATCTTAAAGGTCCTGCACTGTGGTGGTCATTCTTCTACTCCACAGCTGTAGTCATCGGTGTTCTTGAATCTGCCACCACAGGGCTTCCTGCCAATTTAAAAGCACAGGCTAGCTGCACATTCACACTATTTGTTTTGTACGGAGCATCTCAAATGTCTTTCTGCAACTGATCCATGGTCTTGTGCTCAGTATGCTGAGTCAGGAAATGGAAGCAGCCCATCCCTTTCATTAAAATAAGTCACTCTTGTTAAGTTGACTTGCGGTAGGAATCTTGGTACAGTAACTTAGTGGTGAAAAGAATCGGAAATGAAAAATCCTTCACTAGAGTCAATATGTAAATTGCTAAAACGTGACTTGGCTTCCGTACCATAAAGTCAGTGCCTTGCTGGAGCTGTAGCAGATGTTGATTGTTGTTGCTATGGAAAAAATCGAAAGAAAAGCTGATCTGTTTCAGTGTAGGAAATTAATCATAGCTGCTGACAGATGTGGAAAAAACAAAAAACAAAACAAAACAAATGTGCTTTATCGGAAAAGCCAGCACGTTAGTTCAACCCAGCTCTGCAGCATCTGTATGGAGTGGATGCTTCGGTGGGGTTTTTTGGCACTTTTATCTAAAGCTGATTCAGTCAGCTTTAGATAGGTGCTAAAAAAGCTCTGCTATAGCACCCAATCTATACAGACATTGGGCGAGCTGGGTCCAACTAATGTGCTGCCTCTTCTGGGCATGTGCTGGGCTTGGCATGGGGGCATGCCAAGTTTAAAATAAAGCACCTTTTTTAACATCTGTGAGCAGCCGATATGTAGTGGGCAGTAAGCTCCCACAACCAGCATGCTAATCAATTAATTAACAAACAGGATATGAATTAAATAAATTAAAGTTACAGTTCTCTGATCACATGGAGTTGCCACAGAGAGAAAAGCAACATCCTGAATCCACAAACAGCAGGAGACTGTTAATCAAGCAGTTTTTTATCACTTAATGTAGTCTTTAGGGAACTACTCTTTCTCTTGATGTACACATATAATCCTCATTTTGGGAATGATATGTGTACACGGAGTTGAGAATTTGCCCTAAAACAATTTAAATACTCTCAATTTCAATACAGACCTTAAGTTGCAAATTTCCTACCTAGTAATCATAGTTTTATTGCTGGCAATCATTGTCATCAGAATTGCTAAATTGGTAACTTTTGGAATTTTCTTATATAACTAATGCCACATCTTTTTATGGCTTCATCCTATTTTTAGTCTTGTTTTGGATCTCTGACACACATTTTTCTCATTCTCATGTGCTATGAGATGTGAACAATTCATTCAGGGTTGCTGCTTTAGTAGGCTAATTGAGAAAGTTTATAAAACATGCATATGGCAGATAGGCTGTTAATTGCTATTTGTGCTTTTGAAACCTCTTCCAATTTTTACTGCCACTGATTGGCAAAAACTTATTAATGTCTTGTCATAAAATTTACTTTTGATAGTGAAAAGGAGTGGTACAAAACCATTAGGTTTCAGTGTTTGCAAAAATTAGTATGTTGATCATATAATTAAATTTTAGAGGACCCAGTCATGCAAGGTGCAAAGAAGCAGGTGCTAAAAATGCACCGGGACTGAATGATACTAGTAAATTTAAGCAAGAAATCTCCCTGTATATTTTATGTAAAATGTCTGGGTTGTCATCTTTTAGAAGACTAGCATTACTGCATTCTCTGTTACAAAGGAGAAAAAACCAAACTGTCTACCTCTGCTTTCAGCAAGTCTTTTTCATCAAGAATGTATGTACCTCTTGAAAGTGTGTTTGGTTTCTCTGTTTGTTTTTAAGTTCTTGACAAAAAATAGTTTTCATACTTTTTTCCTTTCATAGCTGCCTTTTGAACCATGTTGCACTTTGTGGCAATGTTCTTCATTTTTATATAATTTTTCATTAGACAGTTTTGCATACTGTTGCATTAATTTTGATCAATCGCTCCATCTGTTTTTTCATAAACTATCCTTAAAAGTGAATTACAAAGCTAATTTACCAAATACTAGCAGCATTAATAAAATGCCCATTGCATGGTATGGGACTGAGGGTTAGTTGATAGTACAGTGAAATGCTGTTAAAATAAAAAAAGAAAGAAAAGAAAAAAACAACCCCCCACATCTTACTGGTGTTCATTCTTTTTGACTGTTGTTTTGTGGCTAACTGTGAAGGATGTCTTAAGGTCTGCTGTGTTTTAGCATAAATTGTACAAAATTTTCCTGTG